TTAACTGTCAGCAGTTAGAATTAGTGAGCCTAATTGTTTTTGGCTTTTTAATGGAACTCGCTCAAGCCTCGAACCAATATTTACCTGTGACGCAACACCAACGGAGTTATTCAACGTTTTATTTATATACTACCGAAGCCAAAGGCCACACGGACTTGTACGTGTTCTGAGTTTTATAGTCCCAAATAAAATCGCCTTCTTGCACGCAATAGACAGCGTTGGATTTTTTTGTGTTTATGATAAAAAAATTCAAATTATCTTTTATAAAGGCTTTGTTTCAGTTGATTACAACTTTGTTATTAGTGGGACTAAATTAAAGCCTGCAGTGTTTTGCGCGTGTATAATGAAAGAGCACCAGAACCACCATCAATTATTTAATGAGAAACGTTTGGTAATTCCAAACATGTGTTGCCTGTTTCCAAGCGGTCTGCTTGTGCTTGCCGCTTTTGATAAACACATAAGTCGGATAATTATGTTTACGCAAATTGGCAAAATAGACAAGCTGGCTTCAATCGACCCACACTTTCATCAGTTTTTAATCGTTGAACTCTAGACAAACTTGGGATTACTTGATAACAATCTACAGTTGTTACAGCAATTCACCACTGGGGAGATCATTTTGTTGATTTTTTCCGCGAACCGCTTGTCTGCCTGTAGACGTACAAACATGGTTTCATTTGGGCCTTTAAACTAGAATAAACCACGAGATCCTCGTTGAATTGATCTCATATCCTCGTTCGATGAAGGCAAACTAGTTGTCTTGTTATAACGGTTTAGAACATTGACATTTAGATATTCTCTTCCCCATTTTATCGAGAGCGCAATTAGCGTGGAAACACTGAACCAATTTACCTTGTTTGGCACCAAGACCATGTTATACAATCAATGTCTTATCGCATGAAACAAACGCTGGTTTTTGGGAAAAGACTTGCTATTGCAGCCAAAACCTACCCAATAATCGCAACATAAAATCCAGCCATTAACGCTAGAAATAATCTATTTTGCTCTTATGCAGTCGCTCTAATTATAACCGTTTTACAGCCGTTTCTATTAACAACTTTGTTGAAGATATTTGAAACGTCGTAAACGAAGCAACTGCAGTTGAAATAACAGCAAACCGCGTTAGCGGGAACTGGGTGAAGATAAACCAGCAGAAATTGCACTGTTTTCCTGATTAACTCCAGGGAAAACTGGGGTGGAAGCCATTTCAAACCGAATTGAATTACGCAGTTTTTCATCGATTTCCTGCTATATTTAGGTCATTTCCTGAACGGTTTTGTCGTCAAATGGGACGCGATTCTCCTCAAGTATTTGTTGTCAACAAGGCGACCAGATAATTAAATAACAAGGATCCCATTACATATCAATTAAAGTGTTTGCAAAGTTGAGGCTAAAAGGAACGCTACACAATTTGACTTATCCATTGCTTTCCTTGAGCAAATTAATTCAAATTTTCAATATGAATCGGACGATATCGAACCGGAATAATTTACCACGTCGAGATTAAAGCCGGAAACGTTTTGAAACTAAATAATTCAACAAACATTTGAACGTTCAAAGCAAAATTAAACTACAAGTTTGGGTCTGGACCAAAGTCACTTCTGGACCAAAGTCGCCTGTTCTTTCAGTTTATAGACATACCAATTTCAGGGTGGTAAATTTTCAGGTTTGAAACCTTGAAGAAAAAAGCAAAATTCTACTTTAATACTTGAGAGATTGCGCAAGAATCCTTTTTCAACTGACTAGCTCCAAAAACGCATTTACTCGGAACAGTTTTCCAGCATTATAGGCCAATTATGCAGTCGCAATTAAATAAACAGCGCTTTTCCGCATTGGCAATAACACATTATTACACCGTTAAGTGGCTTTTTCACAGTTCCTGTTGTGATTTTTACATAATTACATTTTTTCCTGGATGAAAAAATCTTGCCAGAACCCAATCAATAGCAGCGCTTGATTCATTCATCGTTCGTTCGTGTTTCCTTGACCCAAATGGGCAGCCATCGAGTTTCCACACAATCAATTTTGATTAAGGTTCGTCGAACTGTTTCCGGAAAACAGAAAATTCGTTTCGCTCTTAATTCTGTTGGGCAACCAGGGAATCGAGCGTTCGAATTTATTTGATATTGATGTAATAGTTTATGCCCAAACAAAGAAACACGGAGAAGGACCAAATAAAATATTAAGAGAAAGGAACAGTGGCCAAAAAATGCCCAGAATGTTGGGAATAAAAGACAAAAATGTATGCATCGGTTTGCATTTGGAACAACAAGTTATTTATGGCATTCAAATGTGAAAAATCGCCATGTCAAAAGCTTTCTAGCTCGTGTCGACTTTGATTGAATTTTTTTTAAAGCATGTCAAAGAACTGAGAAGGCAAATTCCACATTTCATCTTCGCATTTAAAAATTTCCAAAAAAATCCCCAAGTAAATCCTTAGCTGTAGAATATATTTTTGTCCATAATTCTAAAACGCTCTCATCTGCGCCACTGGAATTCGACACGAAAATAAAACCCGTGAAGATGCACACTTTTTCTTCAAACAATTTTTAGAAATTCCTAAATTTTTCAGAAAATGTCAAAAAAGTATACATTTTCCTGTTTATTTTTGGCGAGAACTCTGCAATTCGTCCCGCTAGGCCGCTGTAATTTGACATATAAGCAAAACATCTAAAACTTTACACTTTTTCTTAAGACACTTTTCAGAAATTCCTAACTTTTTGCATGATTTTTTGACCATAAAAGTTGCTTTATAAAATCACTCAAATAGCAACCCTCTAGCTAAGCCGCATTTTAATTGACGATTTTTAAATGTAGCCTTTTTTTGAAAAAAATTGCCAATAATCGCTAAACAATTTTCATTTGTAAAGCTTACTTAGGCTACCCAAAGCTTTCTCTACCAAAAGGCACGAAAACGAATATTGTAAAAAGTTTTTCAGCAATTTAAAAAAAATGCTAATCGAGTCTCAGACTGTGTTAGAACCTTCTCATTAAAAATATTCCCAAAAAATCCCCAAGTACTCCAAAGTTGCAACCTGAAAATGGGAAAATTTTCTTCCTTTTGAATGGTAATTTTCTACTAAAACCTTCCGAACATGATTGAAGGAAGATAAGGAGAACTTTGAAGAGATAGAAAAAATCCAGGAAAGTGGAAGGGCGCAAAAGCAGCCTATACCGCAGTCCGAAACTTTAGTTAAATTCTTGTTCAATTGCGTATTCTTCTACATACTTTAGACTCTCAACTAAAGTGAATTTACTGAAAAATCCGCAAAACCCGTTAACGACTTGAAATGAATGAAATCAAGGTGTTTAACTACATTCATTGAGAAAAACAAAGTCCGCCAGAAGCTGGCAACGGAATTTTCCTGTTACTTAAAAACGCACAAACGTTTCATGAAACGTCGATTCATAACAACAATCGTGAAAATTTCCACATGGGATTATCAGCTTTGGAGCAATACGCTTGATACGCGGTTTGGTTGCAATAATGATAATAAAAATATATGGCTTTGTTATGGCACGATCGGACAAATGCATTTGATTTATTATTCACTTGCCCCCATTTGACTTAAATTTTTTAAATATCGCAAAAAAGCCAATAAATTTTCAATGTTTTGCAGTGTTTTTAACTGCCTTACAGTTTATGAGTGCAGTTTTGTGATTTAATAGTTCTGTTTTTACGCATTTCAATTCTCAAAGGCATCCTAAGGGTAAACGGGCGTAGAATAAATTAGCGAAAATATTGTATTGTTTGCTTGTGAAATTAATCTATATTCATATTTAAAAAATAACAATTTATTTCATCAAAAATTTCCGATGCCAGGCAAAACTTCTTCTGATTTCTTCTGGTTTATCATCGGATTTCATCAGCAATTTTTATTGGTTCCGTTTCTCAAATAATTCTAGAAGCAGCATGCAGCAAAATTTCAAACTGCAAAAAACCGTTTTAGCAATTCAAGGATAATTCTGAGGCGTTTTAAAACATCAGTTGTTTGGGCAGGTTAAATGTTCAATTTGTTCCATGCGTTTCGTGCCGTTTTCGCTTGTTCTCGGTGTCGTTTTTGCTTCTGTACTTGAATCTCTTCGATAAATTAACCCATTTAATACTTAAAAGTAGGTTTTACTAAAAATTTCCTACGGCAAACCGCAAACAATGATGATTTTCATCCCCAACCAAACAAATAATAAATAGAAAACAGTCCTGGAAAATTTCGGAAGGCGATTGCCAAGAGCCGATTGCAAAATTATTAATTTCCAAAATTTATCAATAAGTGTTGGCACAATTTGATCCAAGATTAAATTATTACATTGTTTATTGCCATGCGTTGGCTCTGACCTTGCGATGATCAATCCAAACGATTTTGGGTTGCAAATAAAGATTGTTTTAAAATACAATAAATTGTGTGTGTGTTGGTGTTGCACAAACAACTTTAAATGTAAATATTGATTAGTTTTAACCATGCGATCGTGTTAGAGGAGTTTTTTAGAAATTTTTTTTGGAATATGCTATAAAAATATTCTGTTTAGCACAATTTGGTCTTTGGTTTAATTGCGTCATTTCAGTAGGTTTTTGCGAAAAGAGACGCCAACTCCGGTGGCTGGATGACGTCAATGGCGACAACAAATTAAAACAGCTTGATAATTTGAAAAACCATTAACGCGTACAGTAATACAGCATTATTCGTGAAAAACAAGTATTAACTAGGTGTAAACTTGTTGTTTTAAAGGTCAAATATACCATACGCCCACCTCAAAATGCGAGAATGGACGAGAACACCTTTGAAGGCAATTGATGCTAATGTGGTTTAAACAAAAAATTGTCCCAGAAGCTTCCAAAAATATCTGTCTTGAGATGCTCGCCTTCATTATCAGATATTCAATTGCGCCTACTTAACGATGAAATTTCTGGAAAACAGGCAACATTTTAAAATAATGCAATTTTTTTAAAGCTTTTTCAATATACATTTAAAACACTGATGTTTGTTGTGTTTTTTTTTCAGTTGTTTTTTGCGACTATGCCGCCTCAGGAAGGTCGCTCCAGTTCATCGAAGAGTACATTCTACGAGAAGTACTCCCAACATATGGCAACACTCATTTTACAACAAGCATTTCGTCTCTACAAACCACCGTCTTCAGGTAAGGAATTTACCAAAAAAGCTGTTGACTGAAACAACAATTCTTGTCTGTGTTTTCGAGCTTGATGATAATGATTTTTTTCTGTTGGTCTTCTAGACAAGAAACTCGAGAAATCATACGGACGGCTGTAAACGCCTCAGATGAAGATGCGGTGATTTTTTGTGGCCATGGATGCATTGATGCTCTCAACAAGCTGATTTGGGCCTTAGATATTCGGGAAACTCCGGTCATTTTTACCGGGCCGAGTGAGCATCGAGAGAACTTGATTCTGTGGGAAAAAACAGGCGCCAAGGTATGGAAACTTCTGGAGTATTAAAAAAATATTTATCCAATTGATCTTTCAAAGCTTTTGAGACGCAAAACTTTTGATTGTTTCACTAATACTAATCTTTGTTGCACTTTTTTCGAAAGAATTGTTTCAATGTTGGTTTGCTTTCTCTCTGTTTTGTGAAGTCTCATTTTTTATATTTTTTTGTTTATTTTGATCAGATTCCTTCAGCTATTTCTATTGATATCTTTGTTTGAATGCAAAAGTTAGAAAACCGTTTCGAAAATTGATGATTATTTTTTTAGTTGAAAATTGAAACCGTTGAATATAGGTGGAACATTTATACAATTTTTTCTATCAATTTAACATTCGATTTTCTGCTTTTTACTCTTGTTCCTTTATTTCAGACAAGCGATTTTACCAAATTGTTGTTTAATATATTCCAAATTTTTTAACTCATGTTTGTGGTAAGCGGAAATTTTTTTCAGATACAGAATATACATATAAACATTTTTTTTTTAATTAAAAAACCGTGACTTGCAAAAATTCCATCAATAAAAAATCTCCTGCCCACGTTGGCTCTAGAACCAATAGGAAGCGCGCTACGCCCATTTTAAGGGCAAAAAAACGGGTTAAAGTAGTTGAGAAATGGTCCTTCGAGCGGGATTAGAAGCCGAGAAACGCTTCAACGCTAAACGAGTGTCAATGGTATAGTACACAATAAAAAGTTGTTTGCAGAACTAAAATAAAACAAATAACAAGGAGCTTGCAAATATGAAATTAAATGTTTAAAAGATTCTCAACTGATGACAAACTGAAAATAAAATAAATTTTGGGAAAGGAACGTCTTGCAAAAAAACATGTATTTGGAGAACACAAATTTCCACATTTGATGGAAATTTGGCACAAAAAAAACCATGCTAGGAACATGTGAAACTGTCTGGAAAGTTCCCTTGGAACACACGCATCCAAGTTTTCCGACCAAACTGGACTGACTTATAGGCGTCCGTGTACTTTAACAAATGTATAATAGAATATAAAATGCTGTTTACAAACTGTTTTAGACCAGTTCCAATTTCCAATTTTAAAATAGTTGAAAGGCTGCCAAAGTTCGCAAACGCGATCGTCTAAGAAGCGTTTGGCATTTAGTGCAATGGAAAACTCCAGCTTGATTTTAACTGGTTTCATTCAAATGCCATTGATGTTTTATTGTCTTGATTGTCTCAAACTGTCTTTGATTTAATTGCGGTTTTTTCTCACTTTTTCTGGATATTGCCTGAATCAACTGAAAAAATCCGTCAATGAGTTGATCTGCATGAGGCTTCACAACTTAAGTAAATCAACGCTCGCAAAACTAGTTTTAAATTAATTAAAAGCATATCTAATAAACACTTTGCAAGTCAAATTCTGCAGTGTTTGCCGGCCGAAAATCAGAACAAGGCCATTAATCAACAGAAAAAGGCGTCAGAGCGCACCTTATTGGACAGCAAACATGATTTGCCAAATTATGCTTCATTGTATTCGGTTAATTGACAGCACTTTCTCTGTATCTTTCTCAGCTTGGCGATTGCTCAATTTTATTTACACATTTTCTTTCGCCAATTTTAAGTCATTGACACATTTATGAGCTGTTCTGCAAGGGGATTTAATTTGCAGACCGTGAAGGTTGATTTGATCATTATTTTTGGACGGGAGCCAAAAATTCGGCTCGTGCCCAAGAACTCTCGTGGATTATTTTTATTTATATTTAATTATTTATTATTAAAATGTTTGCTAATCGCAAAATGTCTTTTTTAATATTAGATTAGTTCTTTTTAATTAAATAGCTTTGATGGTTTTATTGGATGGTTTTTTTTTAGAAAAATGTTTTCCCAATTTTTTACTTTTAGGTTTTATTTTGCAAATGACTTTGACTGTGGAGTAGCGAAATTACCTTGTATTGAGGCTTTTTTAGGATTCCAGTCCCGCTCGAAGGACCATTTTCCGACAACTTTATTGCTTTTTTGCACTTCAAATGACGAAATTGAAATTTGACGACGATTTGTGAGTTTAAGAAAATTTGTGAAACTTGGAAATGGAGGAAAAACATACTTCTCCCATTCATTTCATCATGTTTTGCTCTTTTCGGCGCAACTTCTCTATTTGATTATTCTCAAGTGTGTCGATTGTTTGC